TTGATTGATTGATTGATTGGCAGGCAAGCAGGTAGGCAAGTAGACACACAAGCATCCCCTCCCCAACACCCCTGTAGTAAGAAATTCCATGAAACCTTGTGAACGAGAAAAGAAAGGTGTGGCATCTTGCCTGACTTTACTCACCATGCTCAACCTTCCCTTCTTTTGCAAGAGACTAGAGAAGGCCACAGAAGTGAGGACACAAGCAGCAAGTGAACAGTAGGTGTTGATGGCCGCTCGATGCTGGGCATCCCCATGGTTGGAAATAGCTGAGTTAAAGCTAGGCCAATACATCCACAGAAACAAGGTTCCTGCAATGGTAGTGAAGAAGTAGCTGTCAGGCCTGCAGCGGTTCCTTTAAGAATCTTTGGCCTGCCACACTCTCATTAAGGGGGGGGGGGGGAATAGCAAGGGGGAGAATGTGTTGTTTTTAAAATAAAAAAATCCTTTCTAGAAGCTCACGGTTGTTCTTTGTCTCCTCACCTTTGCACCTGACCGGAAGAAGCCGGGTGGAGATTCCTGTGAGGAAGAAGAGGATTGGACCATGTGATGGATTTGTGGGTGTGGGGACAAGATCATGAACTTTAAACTGGGTGGAATCCCAGGAAGTTTTAAAATTGGGATTTTATAGCATGATGCCAACATGTCTGTTTTATTAAATTGGAACTTTAAGGATGACTCTGCCTTGGACTCTGATTTAATCCTGCATGAACGCTGACATTCTACTGTATTCAGTCTAGTATTACATCAATTATAGGTTCTCTTGTCTTGTTTATATCGGATTTATTCCAGTAGCCCACTTATTGTCCAATTGCTCTGATTCTCCAACATCAACCTGAACTCCCACCTTCAGCCACCTTTTTTTCTCCACAGGAAAGATCAAGGAATGGGGAAATGATGATAGAAACAGATATTTAGCAAGGGAGCGAAGAAAAAATATGTTTATTAAATTTAGAGGACCTCGAAGATATCAGGTCTTAGGTCTCAATGGAGCAGTCCTAAAGGTATCTTTCTTCCTTTTCCCTCATTAATTATTTTCTTCTTTTTCTCCAATCCCCCTGCTATTGGATTATAATGCAATCTCCATTGCCATCATTAAGTAGATTTTATCAGTTGTTATCAGAGGATCCTAGTCATTTCTCTCAACCCTAATCTTGAATAAGATGAGGGACTGCCTCCCATCTCCATTCCTTCTTTGTTCTTCTGGCTGTAATCAAACAATCGCTGAACAAATGGTCATAAATCGAGGACTATCTGTAGAAGCATCAAACTTAACATTCCCATTTGTAACATAGTGTTATAAATCATTATAACTTACTGACTTTCTCCAAAATCATTCTTACTAGACATCAGAACTCACACTTTGAGTAGGATCCATCATTGCCTTCACAAAGTTGCAAGATTCAATACTGCAGGAACGAACTGTTTCTGTTCTGCCTTCCCGAAAAAGACGAGTCATAGATGCTTCATAAGTAAGGCAGAACTTGTTCATGTCCTAGAACAGCAAGAGGAGGACATATAGACTAACAAGAAAGGGCTCTCTATTTGAGTATTGGTTCTGAAAATTAAGCAAAGTAAAACATTGATACCATAGAGGTGGAAAAATATAATGGAAAAATACAACCCCTTGGACCAGAGATGGCAAAATGTTCTTCTGGAAGCAAGAACCCAAGGTATTCCATTAACAAAATTGAGATTACAAGAACACTGAACAACCCTGAATCAGAATACCACATTTTTCAGAGTATAAGATGCACCAAGGTTTTGAAGAGACAATTTTAAAAAAAAAGTAGGTAGGTAGGTAGAGGGATAGAGAGGGAGAGAGAGAGAAATACAGTAGATTCATACGGAGAGAGAGAGTAGTTAGGTAGGTAGAGAGAGAGAGAGAGAGAGAGTAGGTAGGTAGGTAGAGGGATATAGAGAGAGAAATAGAGATAGAGAGAAATACAGTAGATAGGTAGGGGGAGAGAGAGAGAGAGAGAGTAGTTAGGTAGGTAAGTAGATAAATGGAGAGAAAAAGAAAGAGAGAATTACAGTAGGTAGATAGGGAGAGAAGGAGTGTGTGTGTGTGTGT